TGCAGTCTTTCCCTCCCTACTAGCGTGCTCACCTCACCCCAAATTTTGGTATCATCAGCGAATTTAAACAGGTTGCTTTTCACCCCGTCGTCCAAATCTCTGATAAAGAGATTGAACAGCATGGGCCCAAGGACCGAGCCCTTGGAAAGGTTTTTTGGAAATCTATACCCAACTTGGTTTTGCAGAATGTTTCATTTCAGAATGCTATAGATTACCCTAAAGACCTTACTATTGACTGTAAAATGTGCATTGCCTTGCTACTGCATATTGGATTGAATGTGAGGGTTTTATTTCAAATAATGCTATCAAAAACTGTATGTGTATTGCTATTGTTGCTGTGACAGAAGAACGGAGGGGAGGATAGAGTGCTGGGCCAAGAATCAGAACACCCAGATTCCCTGTTCTTTCTGTGTCTTGTACTTTTAGCATTGGTAAGGCATTTGAACTCTGACCTGCAGAGTTTACTTTTTCTGTAATATACAAATTAGGGAAAAACAGAGAAGCCCTTTGGAAGAACCACCCCTACTTGCTATTCTTAGAGAAAAATTAGTTGTACAGCTTGACTTTTTACCTCATCATGATTATTTCTACAGTAGGGTATCTAATTGAATTGTATGCAGCAGGTTTCCACTGGTATACAAAATCTGGTCATTTCTTTTACCACTGGTACTACCTTTTTTCACACAGGAAAATGAATAATTAATTTAAAAATACACAGTGAAATACCACTGTAATCTACCAAAAAAACCAACATTAACATTAGAAGTAATCATATTTTCAAGTGTCAGTATTCATGTTATTTGCATGCTAAGTAAAAGTCATGCCAAGCTTTTAAGGGATTGTGCACTTGCATTAAACTCTAAGTGGCGATAAAAAACCCAGAAGTATGGAATTATGAGTGTTCTCAATGTTACCCTTTGACAATGAGGAATTAGCTGCAAAGAATGATTTGAGTTATTTGCCTTGGGGTATTCTTTCCTAAAATGTACATGTATTTAGATTCATCTGGCATGCGTTAGTACTGCAATTTAATTACAGTATGAATTACATGGAACCGAAGTTATTTGACACTAGCCTTGGATACTGTCAGGAAAGGTTCATTAAGGTTCAAATCTGCTCCTGAGTAAAAGATTTAAATATATAGCGGTAATCCTAAAAGTCCTTCTGAAGCCTTGCAAGTGTATCTGGTATTGCAATGATATTACCATTTTTTTTATCAGATAGTTTCCAAGAAAGTTAGTCATTTTCCTATCTGAGAATACTCCAGGAAGTGCTCATTAAACTGAGAGCCAACAGAGTGAACTGAGTAGACTGACTATCTTTTGCCAATGATCGCTACCGTTATGTGCTTTCCATTTTCAGATGCTTGTTAACAATCCCTCAGAGGCTACAGCATTTAAGTATTAGTGTATTTATAAAGTCTAAACATATAGAGATGCTTACATAGACCATGAACAGTTTTTGGTCTATTTAATAGGCTAAAAGAGCAAGTGTATTTTGCAAAGTCATCAGCTAAATAGGTTTTAATGACTGGGCCTTCAAAACATTTTACCTACTACAGTATCTGAGCTCAACATACCTGAGAAAATCTTGTAGCAAATCCCCCAACATAATTGAAGATGTAGTTGACAAAGTTAAACCTTATCTCTGTTGCTGGCAATTCTATATTTTCATTTGGGCTCCGGACAGAAGTTACACACAAACCAGTTTAAGTGATCAGAAACTGGTTTAAACCTGTAACAGAACCAAAGTTCAGTAAACAAACCACTTTCAAAAGGCTGAAACTGGTTTAAGATAAACCTGGTTGAATATACTATCAGACTTAACTGATTTAGGTCAAACCAGTTTATGGAATTTCTGTCCCAGGTCCCTTCTGGGTTCAAGAAGTCACAGTCCCCCAGCATCCCAGGAAGCTTTGCAGCCCTGGGCTGTGCTGTGCTGTCTACTGTAGCAGCGCAAGGTTGACCCCACCCCTCTGCATCCTAGCCAGAACACTATTGCTGCTCGAGTTGGCTGAGAAGGGGGTGAGGGTGGGAAACCTGGCCCCAGACCTTACAGGCTTTTCCCCAACTCACTGCTAGAAGACAGGGCAGGGGTGTGGCCAGACCCCAGGCCAGGCCAGCAGAATGAGGTGCGGGGGAGAGGGGGCCAAACGCAGAGGGGATGGAGAGGAGTTTAACCCCTTCCTCTAGCCCAGCTGGCAGGGGTACAGCAACCCCTGCCTGGTTTTTCTCCATTTGCCCCACCAGCAGAGGGAGCAGGGAGTATGGCCAGATGCCATCCCAAGGCCAGCAGGCTGAGGTAGAGGGGAGGGAGGCCCCAGACCCCAGCTGGGGTTTGCTGGGTGGGTGGTAGCCCATCAGGGTTTTGCTCATCCCCCTTCCACCTTGTGCCCTGCTCAAGCCCTGGGCCGGCAGGCTAAGTGGGGGGAGGGGGTTTAACTCCCTCTCCCGTGCCATCCAGGATCCCTTCCCCCCCTCCCCTGCCCTGCTTAAGCGGGGTGGGGGGCATGGCCATTACCCAGGGCTCATACACTGAGGCAGGGAGGGATGGGGGGAGTTCAAATCCCTTCCCTTGCTCTGGACCCCAGCCAGAGTTAACTTGGGGGGACAGCCCCTGTCAAGCCTTCCACATGCTGTTCTTGTAGTTAATGAGTAGTACTTGCATTGAGTTTAGGCAAGTGGCTAGCCTTATTTTTAGTCATCATGCACTTAAAGGGAGTCTATTGTATTTGATGTCAATCTGTCACTTAGAGCAGACAAGAGAACTGACAATGAATGCCTCCTAAATACTGAGTAAATGCTCTGACAGCTGAGCTTTGGATAAAAAAGAGGCAGTGGTTCTGAGGTGAGATAAATGGAGAAGTAATACCCAGGTTATGGATCCTGATGGAGCACAGGTATCTAGCTGCTCAGCATAGACCAGTGCTGCTGAACTGGGGTAGTACAGTGTGTCCTGAGGTGTTACACATTAGCACTGTTTTGTGGTCAAACACCTACATGCTTCACAAGAGTAAACCGAGAGATTTCAAATAGGAATCCAGAGTCTCAAAAACATTCTGACCTGTTGTGGGCTTTGAGTTCTTTGCAAAGGAAAAATGCTCTTATTTTTTTGACTATGGAAAAATAATGACAAACTAAAAGCATGCTTTTTCTGAGGGGGTTTGGAGTCTAACAAGGGGTGCCTTGAGTCGAAAATGTCTGAGGACTACTGGCATAGACGGTAGTGAAGGGCTTCTGGGCTTACTTAGAAGCAAGTTTTTAAGTGACTAGAAACCCACTGGCAAAAATATGTGGCTCAGGACAACTCTTGAGGAATGCAATACTGATGTAGGAATTAATTAGGTAAAGCTTTAACAGTTAGGGCCTTGTTGCACATTCATTTAGGCAGCTCCTGGCACTCTTAGCCCCTAGATTGTTCAGACATTAACACCTGAACCTAGTTTTAAGTACTCTTTAGGTGGCTTTAAATTATGCCATTCCAGCCTAGGCTTATCTTCCATCTGTGTTATCCAGCTGGTGTTACACTACCTGTAGCCAATCTAGACTTGAGTGTAAACAAACAGCCCACCTACCTCTCCACCCCTGCTGGCCCACTGCCCTCCACTGCTATTCCCCTCCCCTCAGATCTCCACTCACTGCCTCCCTTGCCTCCCCCTCTGCACTTGTGGCTGCCTGCACTGTCTGTCCCAGCACCACTGCTGCTGTCTGGCCTGGGCTCACCCCAGAGGAGAGAAGCAGCCTGGCAGCAGTAGCAGTGAGGTCAGACAGGCAGATTAACCCATCCCTACCTGCTGCCCCCCCGGGACAGACAGCACAGGCAGTCGCAAATAATCAGAGGGCAGCAAGAGGGAGAGAGCCCAGGGGGGAGCCCTGGGGATGCAGGTGAACCAGAGGAGCTCGAGGGAGCAATGGGGAAGCCTGGAAGGGAGGGGGCAGGGGCAGGATTCTTACCTTTCAGTCCTCCAGGCCCCTGCTGGCTTGAACATGTTGCTACTCCAAACTCAAGCTAGCACTAAACACCCATCACCATTTGAGCAGCTCATGGTGCGACATGTAATAAGGCTCTAACATGCATAGAAAGATTTGGCCCTCAAATTAAAATTCTGAACTTTAGTAGCCTGCTCCCACCAAGAAG